GCTGAAATTTTAGGGTAATGCCCCTTGGCCAAGCACAACTTAAATATTTCAAATTCAGCCTCCACGCGCAAGCGGCCCTCCCGTACATGCGCTTAAAAGTTTTGGCGAGGATATTGCTTGTTGAACAGCCGGTCATTTTCAATGAATTGCCCTTTAACGGAAACTGTTCATTTCTTTTATGCAAAATTTATGATGATTTATGCTAGGGAGCGCAAAAGAAAGGTGAAAAGCAATCATCATTCATGCAGCTAGAGACCTGAGCACTTCAATTCTGGTGCAAAAACACATGATTGCTCCGGCAAATCTGATGCATTTCCGCCTGTGGTTGCGTTTCATGCATGCAACCAAAGCTGAAACACACCGGGCTGGCCCGTGCGATCATACGTTTCTACACCGGACTTGAAATACTCAGGTCATTAACTGCATGAATGGTTGTTGCTTTACACCCACCTTTTGCGGCCACTAGCATAAATTACCATAATTTTTTATATAAAGTAAATTTAATGGTCGTTTTTTTTAAAGTAACCTAGTTGTTCAGTCAGAAATTCAGCCAAAATTTTAAGTGCCTGTACGTAAGGACCACACAGTGCTACAGACTAACTTTGCAACGCGAACCACATTGCAAACGACACCACCTTGCAACGGGTACCACTTTTCGACAGAAAGAACTTTGTAACAGACTAACCTTGCAAAAGAAATCACTTCGTGGCTGATACTACTTTGCAACGGAAATCACTTCGGAATTAAAATCACTTTGGAACTGAAGCCACTTTGCAACAGAAACCACTTTGCAACGAACCGTTTGCAATAGGCACGACATCAGCACAGCCAACCTTGCAGCAGGAACCACTTTGCTTCGCAGCAAAACTATTTTGCTGCGAAGCAAAGTGGAACGGACACTGCTTCGCAGCAAAACTATTTTGCAACAGGAACCACTTTGCAACAGACACCACATTGCAACAAAAGCGACTTTGGAGCCGACACCGCTTTACAACAGAAACCGCTTTGCAGCAGGCAGCGCTTCGAAACCGAAACGCACTTTGGAACAGACACCGCTTTAGAACGGACCC